GTAGTAGTAGTAGTAGTAGTAGTAGTAGTAGTAGTAGTAGTAGTAGTAGTAAAGAACATTGGATTTAGATAGAGTCTAGGGGAGCTGGCTTTCAAGCTCTGCCTTGCTCACTTACAATTTGACTTTGAGCAAGTTTCTTCTCCTCCCTAGTTTCATTTTGCTCATCTATAAAACAAAGAGGTTGGATTGGATGGTTGCTAAACTCCTTTCTAGCTCTAAATCATATGAGCCTGTGAAATCCCAGACCTTTCAAAGTGTTACAATTCTACCTGGGAACTTGGACATGATTGAGTCATCTCACATCCCTCGTGCCATGCTTTCTTGTCATAGCATGGGAGATGGCTGAGGTATACGGTGTGCTTCCTCAAAGTGGATTGCCGTCTCTTAGTTCGTATTTTACAAATATTAAACAATCCCTGCTCTCAAGGAGCCTACATTCTATCATAACGCCACTAGAGTGAAGCAGATGTTATTCAAGAGTTGCCATGGCTAAAAAAAAAAATCACTGCCCTTTGACCAATGAGGAGATGAGCCCTTCAGCCCTTCGCTAGTCTGGTCTTTGGGGCACAAGATGAACCAAAAATAAATTAGAATGTTCCAGACAATCTGATCTCACAGAAGTGACTCAGTCCTGGGAGGAATCAGCTTTGTTTGCTGCTAATAAGCATGTGCCAGGACTCCTGGGTTCCTATTATCTTTACTGTCCCCCCTCCTATCTCTGTGGAGGAGCATTTGTTCCACCCTTAAGGGAGATGACAGAGGAATTCCTGATTGAAAGAGGCTATGCCTTGTGTTTTTTCCTATCTCACCATCAGCAAGGTGGGGGAAGATGCTTTGGTTTCATTTCAGAGTCAATGAGTCAGAAGAGAAATAAGGTACAAGATAAGGTTGTGATAGCATAATGGAGGGGCAGTAGCTTGAATCTGCTGTCTAAGAGGTGCTAAGAGGATTAAGAAAGCTGAAGCAATTTGCTTAAGCACCAGGAGGAAGTTGGCCCAGGGGAGCCTAGAGCTAATGTGTCAATTGAAAACTTTTCCTTTCCAGATTTATCTCCTCCTCCCCTTCTTTCTTTCTCACTTTTTCTACCCTTATTGTTTGGTGGTTCAGTCATGTCTGACTGCCCATACTGTCCATGGGATTTTCTTGGCAAAGATACTAAAGTGGTTGTCCATTTCCTTCTACAGTGGATTAAGGGAAACAGAGGTTAAGTGACTTACCCAAGGTCACACAGCTAGTGATTGTCTGAGGCTAGTTTTGAACTCAGGAAGATAAGTCTTTCTGACTCCAGGCCCAGTGCTCTATCCACTGAACCACCTAGCTGCTTCCTCTTCCTATCCTCACATTCTTCCTTTTTCTCTGACCCTTCCACACAGGTGGCCCAGTACATAAAATTTGAAATGCCAGTCCTGAAGAGCTTCATTCAGAAACTCAAAGAGGAAGAAGACCGGGAAGTAAAGAGACTGATGCACAAGTGAGTGCCCATGCCCCCGTGGGACACGGGGCTGCTTTGATTCAGTGCTTGGTGGTCCTGTGTATGTTCCAGGTCAGACGCTAGAGGTGGCAAGGGCAGGGAGGTACCTGAGGACAGTCCTTGAAAGGAAAAATACACCTTGGGAGATTTATTATTATTATGTTATAACACTGCCATAATTAACTATAATTAGATAATAATTCACATTATTATATTAATTCAAGTTCTCCAAGCACTTTTCCCACAGGAATCTTGAGGTGTGACTCATTTGTTATAATCCTCATTTTGTGGATGGAAAAACTGAGGCAGAGGGAGGTTAAGTGGGGACCAAGAATCAAAAAGTTAGCTTTTTTCCTCCCTCTTTGAATGCATTGGTGACCTCTTTGAGACAGACATTCCTTCCACAACCGAACCATGCCTACTTAGCCTGTGCCAGTAGGGTCCTTATCTTCTTTCTCACAGGAGCCTCCCAACATGCTGAAGGCCTTCCTCAATAGTATCCTGGGATCCTAAATAATAGATTTAGAGCTGAGAGGGATTTTGGAGGTTATCTAATTCAACCCCTTCAGCAATTTTACTATTCCTGAGCAATCCAGTACCATTAAGGATCGAAGTCCAAATTTGAACTCGGGTCTTCTGATGCTAAGACAAGTGCCCTTTCCCCTACCATGCTCTAGTTTTTAGTCTATTGCCTGTGCCTACTTGGCCACAGGCCTCTCAGGTCTTAACTGTCAGAAGGATGACCTTTGCAAACTCTGGATGGGCTCTCCAGACAGGGAGGAAAGACTGAAATGCAAAAACTCCCATTCCTCATCTCAGTTTATTTAATTTCTTAGGGCTCCCTCTTGTCCCTTTTCCTCTCCTGCCTCCCAGCATCGAATCCCTCACGTTCCAGAATGGGCCTTCTTCATCTTCTGGGCCACAGATCAATGATGCAGGTTTCAGCATATATCTATGTCAAGAATGAGTGACTGCTCTTAATGTTCTCATGTGCCCATCTACAATATTCTTGTCCGTTCATGTCCATGACTTCATTAACTAAGGAAGTGAGCCCCCAGCAATGTCTCTTTCCTTGGGATGGTTAATAAGCGAGAGTAGGGGTGGGGGTGGGGGGGGGGAAGTGTAACAAAGAGAAAGATCTTGGGGGAAAGGGAGAAAATCACCTGAGTCAGGAATTCCTCATGCCTGGAGTCAAACTGCCCTAATAAGAAGTTAGGTAGGAGCCGGGATGACGATCATAGTAGCAAACAAGGTTGATTCCTCCCAGGACTGAGTCACCTCTGTGAGACCAGATCGTCTGGAACATCCTAGTTTATTTCTGGTTCATCTTGTGCCCCGTTGAAACAGATGGTAGCGAAGGGCTGAGGGGCTCACCAACAAGGTCACAGGGCAATGATTTTTTTTTTTTTTAGCCATGACAACTCTTGAATAACATCTGCCTAGCTCTAGTGGGGTTATAATAGAATGCAGGCTCCTTGATTGTTTAATCTTTGTTTTAGCATTCCTACTAGTGCCTAGCATAGCGTGTAGCACATAGGAGGTATTAATAAAGGACTGTTGATTGACTGATTTATTATGATGGCGTCAGTAGAGGGAATATATACCCACACTAATGAAATCTGGCATGCCCTTGATGTCTTAAAATGTTGTCTTTGTCAAAGGGATGAGCTGGACCAGGGATGGGGAACCTGAGGCCCTCTAGGTCCTCAAGTGAAGCCCTTTGACTGAATCCAAGCTTCACAGATTCGGTCAAAGGGCCACACTCGAGGATCTAGAGGGCCACATGTGGCTTTGAGGCCTCAGGTTCCCTACCCCTGCCAATGGTTCTCAAAGTGTGGGCCAGGAACCCCTTGGAGTCCCTGAGACCCTAATAGGGGGTCATAACTGTTTTCATTTTAATTTCTAATATGATTACTATTAATTGATAGGACTCACATAAACAAAAGCACAAAGAGACTCTTTCTTAAAAGCATAAAGGGGTTCAGAGACCCAAAAGTTTGAAAACTGCTCAATTAGACCTTCCTGTAGTGAATTATTGATTATAATATATTTCAGGAATGTCAGATCTGGAAGGGAATCTTAGAAATCATCTGGTTCAGGGATTTTTCACCTCAGGTCTGTGAACTTGTTTTGAAAATATTTTGATAATCGTATTCTAGTACAAGCGATTTCCTTGGTAATCCTATGTATTTTATTTTATGCATTTAAAAATATGATTCTGAGAAGGAGTCTATGGACTTCCCCAAATTGGCCATAGAGGACCGTGATGCAAAAAAGGCTAAAAATACCTGATCTGCTTCAACACCTTGGATAGGGCAATTCCAGAGTCAGAAGGATCTGAGTTCAAATGTGGCCTAAGAGGCTTACTAGCTATATGATCCTGGGCAAGTCACTTAACCTCTGTTTATTTCAGTCTTCTCACCTGTAAAGTGGCAATAATAACAGCCCTACCTCCCAGTGTTGTGAGGATAAAGTGAGATAATATTTGTAAAGTGTTTCACAAACTGTAAAATGGTATATACATGCTAGTTATCATTATTATTATTATTTTATAGATGAGAAAACTGAGGCCCAGAGGGTTTAGGTGAGCTTTTCTTTATAGTGCCTTACAGTTTATAAAACACTTTCTTCCTCACAATCACCTATGAAATAGATAGTACAAATGCAATTACCCTCATTTTACAGATGAAGAAACTGAGGCTCAGGAAAGGTGAAATGATTTGCCTATAGCCTCACAGTGTCTTTGTCAAAGGTGGGATTCAAACCTAGGTCTCTTTAGACCTCAAATTTGGTTCTCTTTCTACTGTATAAGGAAATTAGACTTTGTCTCTAAGGTCCCTCCCCAGGTCTAATGCCAGAAAAGGAGCCTGGAAAATTCCGCAAATCATGTTACTAGCTGTTGGAAACTTAAGACTTAGTTGAAGGTAGCATTTTGCAGGTAGCTGACAAATGATGCTTTATTTTCCTTTTCACAGATATACGGTGCTCAGACTAATGATTGAACAGAGATTAGAGGAGATAGCAGAAAGCCCAGCTACCATCTAAACCGGGGGTGGGGAACCACATGTGGCCTGGAGGCCACAGGTTCCCCCCCCCGGAATTCTAAACAGCCAGGTACGACCCTTCTGGAAACAGATGAGTCTTAAGCCTTTGTTTACATGAAGAAATCCTGAGATGGAGAAGGATGGAGGCTTCCTGAAGGATCTTGAAAAACCCTTCCCTCAACCTGGAACTCTTTGAATACAAAACCCTTTTCAAGTCTCCCTCCTTTTCTTGGACCAGAAGCAGACACCAGCAGACAACTCTTGGATACTCCCAATCAGCTCTTTTCCCTCCCTGGGAGAGAATCTTGATTTGTGGTGTCTAGAGGACTTGACCTGTGTGAATGTTTGTGTGTATGTGTGTGTATGTGCATTTGTGTGAGAGGGCACTTATACGTATGTTTGGGATAGGTGGAGGAGGAGGGAAGAAGAGAGATGTATGTATGTGTTTTGGGGGTGGGTGGGAGTAGGGAATGGTCTTTTTTAATATTCAGAGTATTTTCACATGCAATTTAAAAATTCCAAGCAACCAGCAACTGGGCCATGAATCTGGTAGAAATGATTGCTTCAGACCTGGATCGTGTGTTCTGATAGATTTAGGCTGAAGTAAGGGCCAGGGCTCCAGGATTAGTTAGGGCTCTTGATTAGAGGAGGGGCTAGTTTCTCAGAGGCCCTGGTTCCTGCTGCTCTCATTCTAAATGATGCCACCATTTGGGGAATTACATATTAGTATTTAAAGATGATTTGGTCTCTTTATTTCACTGAGGGTGAAACCGAGGCACAAAGAACAGAAGGAAGTGTTGAAGGCCCCACAGGTAGCAGTGTGTCAGGATTCAAATCCAGGTCTAATGGCTCAAAACTCTTTCCATGACATCACACTTGCCTCTTTAATATGGGAGTAGTGGAGGTCAGGATCTCCAGTTAGACCTGACAGATGTGCAAAAATTGGCTGATGGACAAATTCTTGCAGGATTTCTTTTAAAAATGTCTTTAAATTTAAATTTTTTCAATTAAAAATACATATTTCCTATTCTACTCCCACCTCATTAAAAAAAAAAAAAGCAAATTCTTTGTAACAAATATGTATAGTCAAGAAAAAACAATTCCCCTACTGACTAGTTAGGAAAAATGTCTCATTTTGTACCCTGACCCCATCACCTGTAGCATCCTTTACATAATTCCTTTTGAAAGGAATGTCAGTGCCCACACTTCTAGGATGTCTGACAGAAGCAAACAGAAGTTAACAGAGCTGGACAGTTGGTGTGACCCTTCACTTTTGGTTTGTTGCCTGGCAATTTTGACCTTCCTGAAAACAAAAATGTATGTAATGCATTATGGTGGTGTCCCTAAATATGAAAAGAATTCTCTCTTCCTACAATTAATCCAAAGTATTTACTGGGCCTTTGTATAAATCAAGGAATGAACTAGCACATTCCTGCCTTCTCAGTAAGAAAGGCTTACTCAGAACTTTTAGATGCCAACCAGAGTGTTTTAGAAGGCTCTTGAAACTCATAGCAAGACGAATGGGGAAGACTGCTCAGGAGTACATTTGAACAGGACAGAGACTGGAGCAGGATGTGTGCTGCTAAGGATGGTTTGTGAAATATTTAGCACTGGGGCCTTTTTTTGAGATCACTGGCATCATTAGCAGTGCCTACATCACCAAGATAGGCCTCAAAGTCATGGAGTCTGGAGAAACTGCCCTTCTGTTTATAGAATCATAAATTTATAGTGAGAGGTTCATTAGGGCTATCAAGTTCAATTCTCTCATTTCACAGATGAGGAAACTGAAGTCCAAAGAAATTAGGACTTGCTTAAAGTCACATGGATATTAAGTGGCAAAACTAGGATTTGAACCCAGATCCTTTGACTCCAAATTCAGCACACTTTCCACTTACCATGCTAGGAGGTGTGAGGTGGTACCTTAGATCTTCTAGGAACTTAGAATAAAGAAAGAGGGGCACTTTTTAGCCTACTAAGGAATTTCCCTCTCACTCCTCGATTTCATTATCAAGCTGGAGAAAAGACTATGCTTCAGTGGCAAAAGTGAATCTCCTTGCAAAGCAGGGGCCTGTTTCCTCTTAGGGTGTTGCCCAGGTCATGGTTTCTTATCCTCTGCTTGCTCTGTGCTAAATGGACAGTGTGTTTCTATGAGGAGGGGCCTTCAGGGCCCTTCCCCTTGATCCCCAAGTGGAGGGTGGCGTATTTGCTATGTGCAGTAAAGGAAGGAAGGAAGCAATAGAGGGCTTTGCCTCCTGTCACTCAGGTATCTCCTTGGATTTTTGAGCCGATGCCACAGGTTTCAGGGTTTAAGCTTCATTCTTTTAAAATCATTAATTAGTATTGACAGCACTTACTCCCACCCCCTTCTAGTGATAAAAAAGCAATCCTTCCCTGGCCTTTGTCCAGAAGGATAAGACCATTTGTGTGTGCCTGAGGCAATGTTTTAAAATGATGCCACCCTGTGTGTTTAGAATTCTTGTTGCTTCCTGGAGGCATAGGATAGAATCAAGTCATGGAGCACATCCAGCCCAACCCCCTCATTTTATACCAGAGGAAACTGAGGCCCAGAGAGGGTTAACTGAATTACCTGAGGCCACAGAGGTAGTAAGTAACAGAGCTGGGATTGGAATTCTGTCCTTTGGGGGCACCAAGATCTACCATTCTTCTCACTATACTGTGGCTTCCTCCAAGAATCAGACCTAAAAGGTGGAAGGGACCTTGGAGGTCATTTAGCAACCCTTCCACGGAATCAGCTTCCACCAGAATTATTGGAATGCTAAGAAATCCCTAGAATACATGAACTGGTGCTTGTTTCTTCAAGAGAAAACTGCCAGATTTTAAACTTTTAACTTTAATCTCAAAGCAAAGTTGGGAGTGTACAGGAAGGCTTAGAAATGGGCTGTGTTTCAAAAGTTCATTTGTAAGGTAGCTATAGGAGACAGAGCTGTTAAAATAACCAACATTTATGTAATGCTTTAAAGGTTTACATAAAGCTTTACATATATTCTCTCATTTCATCCTCACAACAACAATCCTGGGAGGTAGGTGCTGCTTTTAGTCTTATTTTACAGATGAGGAAACTGAGGCAGAAAGAAGTGAGGTGACTTCCCAAGGTCAGACCTGAGGCAGATTTTGTAAGTCCATGGCTCTATCTATTGTACTACCTAGCTCCCACCCACTTGGCTAGAGTGTAGCATAATTGTTCAGAATGAGAATTTCCAGCTTCAGACTCTTCCTTTCTACCTTTTCCCTTTAAAAAATTCAACCTTGTTGTGGTTTTATTATTGAGTTTCAGAACTGATTTGAGGACCATCTGGCATCTTTCTGTTTTAACTTGAGGAGTAACCAGCATCATCTGAGAGGGCAATTAGTGGAATGGAAAGAGCTCTGATTTTTAGACTTTGAATCCTGACCTTGCCTTTTAATAAATGTATGATGTTGGGCCAATCAGTCAACCCCTCTAGGCTTTGTTTCCTCTTCGATAGAATAAAGGGTCCCACAAAGCTACCCATCATCTGAGACTATAGTAAGTCAACTTCCCTCATGGACATCATCCCACATGACATCTCTGGAGGAAGCTTCTTAGCTTAGGTCCAGGTAGGAACCAACAGTCTCTCTACAACCCAGCTCTGTAACTTGGCAAACAATTTGTCTATCTGGAGAGGTAGGCCAAGATGAAAGATGTTCCCTGTTCTAACAAGGGTAACAGGACAGTAAAGTAAGTGCCCTGAATTTTCTACTTTTGTCTTTTCAAAAATTTAACTTGCTCAATTCCTTATCCATAGGTACATTTATATTTTCCCAGCTATACCCTGACTTCTTGTGGCCCCTGTACATTTTCCTGCAGGAGTCAGAGAGTATCTAGGTTTATCTATCACTAACAATTATCTGTTTTGTTTTGGGGGGTTTTTTTGGACTCCACATCTGGGATGCCAAAGCTGTTTCTGATTTAGGCTTAGGATCCCACTAGTGTTAAATATCATAAACTTTTGGTTGGCCAAGTTATTCCAAACCTTCCCATATTCTACCACTCTCCCATTCCCACTTCCCCAAGTTCTAAAATATGCTTTCTTGGAAATAGAAAGGAGGAGGAGAGGAATAAACATAGCACAGTAAACTTCTACTCCTCTCATCCTGATTTTAAAACTGCCCATTTAGAAACTCTCAGCCATAGGAGCTTGGGCTATGGATGTTGGCAGATGGCAAGGGGAGGGGGATGTCTTGAGTCCTACAAAGTGAGCTAAGCTTTTCCCACCAGTATCATGTGAATTTTGATTCTTTGAAATGCTAAACTGATTTATAGGGCTCTGCAGCTGTTTGCTGTGAGCCCTGAAATGTGGTTAAGATGAAAAGCAAGTTGGTTTGTTTTTTTTTTGCTTTTCTCCTGTTTTTAAAAATTCTTTTCTTTTTTTCCCTCTCTTTTCTCTGTATTTCTCTCTCTGTCTCTCTCTCTCTGTCTGCCTGTCTGTCTGTCTGTCTCTCTCCCCCTCTCTCTCAATAAGGGATTCAGCTTGTTTATAGGCTGATCAAATGAAAAGAATAGTGTTGAGCTTGGTGGCAGAGAAGGAGCTGGGGCTGGTTCCACAGGTATTGATAGAAGAAGCACATGATGGTGTTAATCTGTGCTCACGTCACAGGGAGGGCCTGTGGTTTGACTTGAATGACCAAGTTTTTAATGGGGTGGTGTTAAGGAGATCAGGTAGCACAAAACAGAATTCATTGTCCATGGGGACTCTGTGTAGGAAGATTTTGTGCACATTAATAACACTGGACAACTAAATTCTAACAAGTACTAGAGGATGGCGTTGGAGACTTGGTTATTTGGCTGGGGTGTTGGGATTGCTCCCTACTTTGTTAAATCATTCTAAGACCATCACCCCAAGAGTACAATTGTTCCTCCAAGGCCTGTTGATGCCAAAGAGAAAGCTCTTTTACCCCCTCAACCAGAAGGCAACAGCAACAATTACAAAACTCTCGCCTTCATAACTCAAAACTGTGTTCTATCAATACAAATGATAACCTTGGCATAAACATGTTAATCTTTTGTCCACATTCATTTTCTTAAGGATCAAGGATTTTCTTTATCTTCTGATTGTGACTTGACAATTCCAGTGAACTGGGTATAGAATACGGTGGGTGAAGACTCTGGTTGGAGAGTTGTAGGTGTTGAGGGAGAGAAGCTTCCTTCTGGAAAGAGCCTGGGACCTTGGAGAC